CAAAAATTTCAAATTTTCATTTTTTTTTTACCATTCGTTTGTAGCCGGTTTGTATTGGTTTGTAATCAAATTTTTTTCGTTTGTAGAGATTTGGGTTTTTTTATAAAAAAATAAATTTTGGTGGGGGGGCTGGGGAAATGCCCTAAATTGGAATTTTATCTATTTTACAATTTATATTCAACAAGGCTTTTAAAAACCATTTTTAATAAAAAAAAATTTAATTAAAAGACTTGTTGATTATAAAACAAATTTGGATAAAAACCAGCAATTTAATTAACAAGGCTCTTTTTTATCTCTTTTTTTATCTAATTCGTTATTTTTTAAGATTTTTTAATCAACAAGTCGTATTAGATTTTTATTCTACTTTCAACTTTTTTGTATCCAATTTCTTTTTTCCAATTTCAGTTTTTATTCAACAAGATTTTTATTTGAGCTTATTGGATAAAATAAAGATGGAATGTTGAATAAAAATCTAATTAGATTTGTTGAATAAAAAATATTAATCGGTTAAAAAGCCATTTTGAATAAAAAATCTAGATAAGATAAAAAAATTTGAAATTGAATATAAAAACGGATTTGAAAAAAAACAGTTAAATAAAAACCATAATTTATTAAAAATTCTAAATAAATGTAAATGACAAAAATTATTAAAATTGGTTAAATTATTATTTTTGTTATAAATTTTATGTGTCAATTATATTTTTTATTGTTTTAATTATTTTGTTTTTATTTATTTTAAATATACATTAATTTTTCAGTCAGTTATTGTAATAATTTTTATGGTTCAATTTTATTCATAGTTTTTAAGATAATTTTTCAGTTTTTTAGATTAATAAGAATTCATTATTGAAATTAATTCGAGATTATAGTTTCATTCGAGACAAACTATAATTTTTATTAAAAAATCTAGATTGAATAAAAAAGTCTTGTTGAATAAAAATCTAAATTTGATAAAAAAAATGGAAACCTTAATAAAAAATCTAATTCTAAAAAAAGATTTCTTGTATAAAAAATCATTGCATAAAAAGTCTTGTTGAATAAAAAACTAAATTGGATAAAAAATGTATGTTGAAAAAATAAAATAAAAATAATCCAATTTAGATTTTTTATTTAACTAAGCTTTTTACATTAAATTTCTTATTACCGTTTCTTTTTAGCCGTTTTGTATTGCTTTGTAATATAATTTTTTCATTGTAATGGTAGTCACTAATTAATTATTTTTTGAATGCTGTCTATCGATGATTTATAGATATAATATGTAACAAAATAAATCATCGTTTAGTTGTAAATAAATAATAATTATTAATAAGTTAAAGTTGATTAAAATGTTCATTTGTTAATTTAGTTATAACATTTTTATATAATTTTCGAAGACTGAAAAGAATAAACAAAGTATGTTACCTTTATTATTTATTTTAATATTATACTAATAGTTATTATTATATTTTCAAAGGCTGAAAACTGAAAAGCAATAATTTATATTATTTACTAAATAATAGTAAATGGTAAATAGTTAATACTTAATATTTAATACTAATTTTTAATTTAAAATAAACCAACTTGATTGTTATTACATATATTTATAAATCATAAATAAAACCTCATTTAAAAAAGACCAAATTAGTAGCTTTTGAAAGAATGCTAGTATGTTGTTTGTTAAGGTGGCTATTAATTAGGTACAATTAAATAACAATTATTTGTATTACATAATAATATTATATTTACAAAATGATTTAATCATCGATGGATATTGGACAGCCCTTAAAACATAACTAATTAGTAAACAACAAAATATGATGTTGACTTTTTAAAGAAAATTAAAAATTCTAGTTTAGGGCATTTCCACAGCCCCCACAAAAATCTAAATTGAATGAAATGACGGATTCTGAATAAAAAAACAGTTAGATAAAAAACATAATTTATTAAAAAATCTAAATTTAATAAAAGAGCCTTGTTGATTAAATTGCTGTTTTTTTTATCCAAATTTGTTTAAAATCAACAAGACTTAATTATATTTTTTTTTATTAAAAATGGTTTTTAAAAGCCTTGTTGAATATAAATTGTAAAATAGATAACAATTTTTATTTAGGGCATTTCCCTAGCCCCCCCCCCACCAAAATTTATTTTTAATTTTAGTCATGCACAGTAAAATAAAATGTCCCTGTAATATTTATTATTTAGCAACGAATTTATAAAATAAGTTCATTCCCAGTGCACATTCTAATGTAACTATATAGTTTGGGTCTAAACTCAGCTCACATTACAATGTTCATATCGGGAGTATTCTGTGTTCCCGAAGCACATCGTAATGTACATTAAAAAATCTCTGTACCAGATTATCAGAAACGGATGAAAATGGACAGATTTATTATTCAAGAATAAAGCAAAAAAATAATGAATAAAAATAAATATTTAAAACAAATATTTATTTTTTATCGGACTTTTATTATATAAATATTTTTTATCAAATAAACATTTTTTTATTAAATAGGTTTTGTTCTCAATTATATTTTTTTATGAATAGATTTTTAAAGTAATACAGATTTTTTAATAAATAGTTTTTATAAAATAGACTTTTTTAATGAATAGTTTTTTTTTATCAAATATTGATTTTTTTTTATCAGATTCACCTTAACATTTTGTTCGATCAATTCCAAACCTTGGATTATGTTTTGAAATGATCTCGAAATAATATGGTACTTTACCCATACTCCAGAAAATCTGATTTTTGGACGGCAGTACCATCCACTACCACGAGAAAATTAATATTTTCTACATAATATCTATCTAAAAAAATTGTCGAATATTAGAAATCAAAACAATATTATTAATAAAAATATATAATGACTATAAGTAATTAATTCAAATTAGGTATATCAATAATTAATGAAACTATATGTCAAAACAATTAATTAAAATAAGATGTTAATACATTAATAATATTTAAAAATAATTAAGTTAATTTTTTTTATGAATAGATTTTTTTAAAAATATAGGTTTTTTAACAATTTATGATTTTTTTTTTTATCAAATATTGATTTTTAACTACTATGGATTGAACGTAGATTTATAAAACAAAATTTAGTATAAAATCGAAGTAAAATAAAAAATATATTCTTTGAATAAAAGATCTTAGTTGAATAAAACCGAGAAGGATACAAAAAATCGTGATAAAAATATATATTCAGTAAAAAGTGTATATTTTCTGAAAAAATGTTTTTAATAAAAAAGGTTGAAGAAAACCATATAATAATAATAATAATTAATTGAAAATAATTAAAATAACTGACTCTTATAAAACGAATAAAAATTAATGTATATTTTAATAAATAAGAATATAAAATTTCAAAAAATGAATAAATTGATTCATATAGAAATACTTAGAAAAATTAATGTTTAATAAGTGATAAAAAATCAATATTTGATAAAAAAAACTATTAAAAAAAAAAATTTTTTTTCTGTTTGAACCGACGGCGTCACAGGGACAGCTTTCGCAATACTTCCGCGACTCCAAATTCAACAAAAAACCTATATTTGTTAAAAAATCTATTTGATAAAAAACTATTCAGACATTAAAAAATCTATATTTATTAAAAAATCTATTGATAAAAAAACTTGATGAAATATAAAAGCCCAGTTGAATAGAATAAATAAATAGATAAATAATTTTAGGGGGAGGGGGGTGATCACCATTTTCGTGATGTTTACGTATTTTATCAAAATTTGAATGCTTATAAAAAAAATTGTGACTACGGATTTTTAATATTTTTCATCCCCTTTAAAACAGTATACTAGGAACCTTCTAATAAATTTTCAAGCTTTTTTACTCAATAAATAAAATTTAATAGACATTTATAGAAAAAAAACCTAAAAGAATCGGAAAATGAAAATGTCCGTAAACAGTTCAAAATAAGTCAAAATATTTTGAAAATATAATGGTGTGTAGAAAATGCTTATATAAAATATATTCAGTCAAAATTTCATGGATCTACTTTCATTTCTTTTAGAGTTACACCAAAAACCAAAATTCTAGTTTTTTCCTTAATTTTTAAAATAAAAAAAACACATATCATTGTAAAATCAATACATTCATCGCTTCGTTCAGAATCTAAAATTAATAAAAGCCTATTTGAATTAAAAACAAATTCTTAGAAAAAATGAATTAGAATAACAAAAACCTGGTTGAATAAACCATTTAAAAAAACTAAATTAAATATTTAGTTAATCTTTTTAATTTTAAGTTAATGTATTATTTTTAATATTAATATTAGTATTTTATTTATTATTATTTAGTGTTTTAAGTCCGTAGTTATGAAGTTATTGTACTGCAAATTACCATAAACCATGTTGCAATCAGCAAATATTTTTAAGTCGTTTAGAAAATAAATGCATTAAATTGAACTTTGGTGTGGACCGAACAATGTATGTGGTGCCACCTTCACAGTCTTTATATTACTTACTTAAATAGCAATATTATAAACTATATGTTATCGTTAAAAATCATTCTGTGTTACAATGGTTTTATATTTAGCATATAATATAATATCAATATGACAGTGGCCACTCTATACACCAACTAAATACTGTATATGAGATGTATAAGTGTGTATCAGAGCGGTACCAACTTGCCCAAATTTTTTTTATCACTGTATACAATGATTTAGCATTATAAATGCTTTTTAATCCATTTTAAATGATGATCATATTTGGTTAGGTCAGGTTAAGCTTATCAGGTTTATGATATTTTATAATGCAATGGTGTAATTAGTTTTTTTTTAGATTATGTCTAATTACACAAAATTAATACATTTGCAGCTGTGTTGAGTATAATTATTGAAACAAATCTTAATTCAATCAGTTATCTTATATTTTATACAATTATACTTTATCTACTTCTATGATATTTAAAATCGTTGTTATTGAATTCGTTTTAGATTACAAAAACTGGTAGGCCTGCTGCATTAAACCACGATGTTGTATTCACTGCTCTCCAAGAAAAAATGCATTTATTGTTTAATGACGATCACATTTTAAGACCAATATCTGATCAAGTTTGGGTTGATTTGTCGGTTGCACTTCAATATAAAATGTCAGCTAAGACAATATATATAGCAGTTTATCAAAACAGGCATGATTGGCAAAATAAAATAAAACATCTGCTAGGTATTCAGAATCAACAAAATGTAAGTCCAATAGAAACAGAATCTACGTCTTCATCTTCATCAACAGAAGAAAACAATAATAAAAAGTTATTTAATTTGACTATACCTGATTTTTCTAACATTTTGGTATCATCTGTACCATATAAAAGTAAAGGCAATATAAGATATTATGATATATTGAAGCCAGGGACATGGACCGATATAATAAACGATGCGTTTTTGGCAAATTATAAATTGCCATGCTGTTTCATTTATAAACGTGGTAAAGTGAATAAGGATATATCAAAAAGCAAACATTACTTAACATTCCAAGCAACTTGTAAAGAGTGTAAAAATGATCTTTTTGGTTGGAGTGATGCTAAACCAAAACCAGGTGAACCATTACATTTATGTATATTAACAAAAAATACTGTCGGCGATGAAATCAATCATACGACCAAAAGACCGTTGAAAGGTACTAAACGTAAAATGGTTGGTTATGAATTATCAACAGATGTACCTTCAAATTGGAGACGTAAACAGGTAAAAGATTTAGATTTTGGAAGAATTTCACCACCAAATCTGTACAAAAATAATGTGTTGAGTAAGACTAAACAAGATTACATAGATAAATCATTAGGAGTCATTAATAGAAATCCAATTGATTCCTTGATTGAATTAAAGCATACTTCTCAGGCTGGAAATATTCATCATATTGGCAGTGATCCAGCTATTATCCATTATTGGACCAATCATCAACTTGTTATATATAAAGATATTACTAAAAAATATAGTAGGCTTTTTATTGATGCTACCGGCAGTCTTGTAAAAAAAATCAAACGTACGTCTCTTAAGCTACTATCAGGTGATATATTTTTGTATGAGGCTGTTGTAAATGAAGGTTTCGGCCAAATTCCTGTTACCCAAATGATAAGTGAAAAGCATGATTCGATAACTATTTCATATTGGCTGGATATGTGGTTAAGATGTGGACTGAGTGCCCCTAGTGAAGCCATATCTGATTACTCCAGAGCACTTCTTATGGCAATGTGTAAAAGTTTTTGTAATTTAAGTTTTCAATCATACCTTGATGAATGTTTTTCTGTAATTACTGGTGAAAAAGATAAACTGCCTTCATGTTATATTAGAATCGACGTCTCTCATATGATCAAAACCTTTTGTAGACTTAAGTGTTTGTGTGGTATCAAGAAAAAGTGTTTGAAAGAATTTTATGTTCGTTGTTTTAGACTTCTATTAACTTCAACTGACCTTCACACTTTTAAAAATGTATTAACAGCATTCATGACAGTGATGTTAAGTGAAACAGATGGTTGGATAGACGAAACAGAGAATCAAGAAAATCCATCAGAGAAGTATCGAGTATATTTGATAAATCTTATGAAAGCCATACCTGCTGATGAAACTAGTAACAATTACCCAGACTGTGATACTCAAGACAATGAAGATATAGGAATTGAAAATGCAGATGATATAGATGAATCTTCAAATTCAATAACTCAATTTATACAGGATATTGAAAATTGCAGTAAATTAAATGCCAGTGTTAAAGGTAACAGGATGTCTGCGTACTTTTTACCAGAATTAGCAAAAGACGTTAAACGAATTTGTAAGCATTTTCCGTTGTGGACTGCAGTTATGCAGCATATATTTAATTCGCCATTTAAAATTGCTACATCAGCCCCGGTTGAAAGCAATTTTAATGAGCTAAAAAATCTAATTTTAAGACATGCTAGCCGCCCGATGACCGCTGACCGTTTCATACTTCGTCACATCCAAAGCATTGATAGTAACTCAAAACTATTTCGCAGTTCTCAACTAAGAAATAGTGCTATTGATAAGAGTCCAACAACTACTATATCGTCAGTTGAAAGTGATTGTGTGTCTAATAATCCTTTTTTATCATCTGATGATGATATAGAAAATTGGCGTGGTAAAGGTGAAGAACCAATTACAAGCTTAACATTGAAAAGTAATAACAAAAGACAAAAAATATTCCCCACTTCTAAGGATACTGCTACAAAAATTGAGTCTGAAGCAAACACAAACATAGCAAAACAATTATTTGATAATTTAAGTTCATCTTCAATTTCCGACGATAATGAAGAAATTACATTCATTGATACATTTTCCAATTCCCAGATCATGCATAAAAGTAAAACCAGTGAAATACCTAACAACGACATACAAGGTGTTCTTAAAAAAAAAGTCAAAGACCAAAAAGCAGACCCACAAAGTATATGCAACCAACACCTGAGATTGAACGAGTTTTATGTGATCGAAACATAAGGTCTAAGCATGAAAGTTTACTATTAAATGGTAATTTAAAAAAAACCCCTCTGCGGATGAATAAAAAACGATATTTAATTAGTAACACATGTCCGTTCGATTCAGTCGCATTTATTATAACTATAGCATACACAGACAGCAATTTATACAAGGAATTTGTTGAAGAACAAACAAATACCGTTTTACGTTTTTGCAAGAAATTGGCTTCAGGTGGTCCACGTCATGATATATATAAAGAAAGAATAAATATTCTTAAGGAATTGTTTACAGAAGACCAAGGAGTTACTGATGTTGCTTTGATAAATACAGAGTGTAATGTTCTTTTTATTTGTACGTCCTTAGTAAAAGACGTCCCATCGGCTACTGAATTTATTAATTGTCCTAACCTGAAATGTGCATCAACAAAATATGCAAGCCCAACAATCATTTTAAAGTTCAGTAATAGATTTAAAGATCTAGAAAATGATTTGAAAACGTATACAAAAGAAAAAGTTAAAGAGTGTTCAAAATGCAATGATGTTATGGCAATAAGTAAGCGAGAATTAGGCCAACATTTAATAATCGAAACCAGGGACAGAAACCGGTTTAACCGGTTTTCTGAAAAACCGGTTAAAACCGCGGTTTTTGCATTTTTGAACACCGTAACCGAAACCGAAACCAAGAGCTTTAAAACCTCGGTTAAAAAACCAGAACCGTAACCTAAGAATTTAAAAAACCATTTATAATACCCAGACCGTAACCAAAAAATTTTAAAACCGTTCTTAAAACCGTTCTTCAAAACCGATTAACATTTAAAACTAATATCGGTTTCTTAGAATTTTCTAAGATTGTTTAAATTTTTATTTTTATTAATTCTAGTTAAAACAAGTATTTTTCTACGAAGAGAATATTATATTTGAATTAATATGTATGAAAAATTCCCGATGCTATTACTGAGTATTACGAAATATTAATAATACGATATTACGAATATTATTCTATTTATACTACCTACCTATATTTTATTACTAGATTTGTTGATTCTAATTTAAAATACAAATATCACAATTGTTATTTTTATCGCCCCTATGCGTGGCTATGCACATCTGTATTGTAAATTGTTATTATTTGAAGAATTCGTCTATATTATTATTTAATTAGAATTGTATTTTCGTATTCGACTGATCCGCGTCCGTCCCGCTGTCCCGCAGACCGCAGTTATCATTAATCGCCATAAGGCCATTAACTGCAAAAGGAGAAGCCGCTTAGGAGAAGCCGCTCTTATTAAATACAATTTGTATTTTTGTTTAAATAAACACTGTCATCAACTTTTAAATGTATTAGCTTTGCTTAACAATTTAGCTATTATCTTCCTATTATACAAGATAGTCTCTCTTTTTAAAAACATATTACTGATATTAAGGTTTTTTTAAATTGTTTTTATATTAACAATTAACAAATAATTGAAGTGAAGTTTTGTGATAGGAAAATTTGAGATAAAATATTTTGCTTATAAATATTCAAAATGGGGATGAATTTTAACCCCCAAATGCATACTTTGCATGAGACCATTTTAAGGAAGCTATGGTTTAAATTTTAAGTTCCTACCATTATGGAAAGTGCATTAAAACAGTTGTATTTTTTACGTAGCACATATTTTTTTTATAATCCCCCCCTCCCAGACATAAGGCATATTATATAATTTATATTGAAAAGAAAGAAGATATTATGTACTACATAATATAATATAATAATATCTAATATATAGTGTACATGTATTTAGTATATCTTACTGAGTGTCTTAACTACTGCAACATACAAAAATATATTGTATTTGTGTGCATGTAATATGTTATTAGGTAGGTACTTATTAATTATTATTTATTTCCTATAGGCAATTGGTGATACAAATTACCAATGTTATTAAAAATATATGTATAATACCATAATATACCTTTATTGAGTATGTATATATTCCTAACAATCCCTTGATCAGAACCCAATATATCTGTATCCTTAGACAGTGCCACCCCTGAGGCTCAGGCCCTTTCCCCTTAATAGTTAATAGATAAAACAAATCAGGTCTATAGATATTACTGAAAGGGGAGAAGTAGTGTGACTTATTGGGAAGAAGTACTGCGACCAACGTCCAACAACCTCCATCGACTCTCGATACCATTGAAAAAAAAAATTATTACTGGAAACTAAAAACCGTAACCGAAAATTTTTGAAAACCGTGGTTTTTGAAACCGATAAATTTAAAAAACCCTTTTTTGAAACCGAAACTAAAACCGAAAAATTTAAAAAACCGATCTTTAAACCTAAACCAAAACCAGAAAATTTTATAAACCGTTCTCAAAACCGAAACCGAAACCGTTAAAATTTGTAACGGTTTCTGTCCCTGATCGAAACTGATTCCTACTCAGAAAATCGAACATTTATTTTGACAGAGTTTCCCACTGAAGTCAACGTTGAAGGCAATCTGTGAGTATAGTTTGATTCTTAATAAACTTTGAAAATACTGTTTTATGATGATGGCCATAAAATATGAAAATGTATATTTTTCAATCATAATCAAATACATTTGTTACATTGATAGGACAGAAAACCCTGATTTTAGTAACTTTCAATTTATATTAATTTTGAAGATAAAAAAAATGAATAGTAAGGAATGAGAATAAAAATGAATAATTCAAAAAATGTTTTAATTGTTCACAGATATAAGCTATTTGGGGCCGTTGGTTATAGCTCTGTACACTATGTATCTTATATACGAAGGTTCAGTGGAATATGGGAAATACACAACGATTTGGAAAAGAAATTTAAAAAGTGTTTAAATCCGGGAACAACAAAAATTCAACCACACTTAATTTTTTACGCAGTTTAATATATTAACATAAATTATTTGTAATTAATCACTTTGTATTTTTTTTTATTAATTATGCTTAACACAAAAGACAATAAAATAAAAGGAATAAAAGATAATAGATTTCATTCTTGAATATATTGTAATAAAACAGTGTTATATTCATGTGTTCAAAATCTCCTTAATTTATATTTCAAATCTTTAAGTATATTATATTATATTTTAATATTTAATTACAATTGAATTACTATAGATCATACCTAATTTATGAAAAAATTGCTATTACCTACGTTTTGTAATATCGTTACATTTATTTAAAAATTGTAAGACGTTTATTGAATCACTATGTTATACATATACTTATGTTAAAGGTAGGTATAATTATTAATTACTATATGAAAAAAAGTAACTGATTTTTAGCTAAGTTAACACTAAACTTAACTTACATTGTTTTTATATTAACTTAACTTAACGAGTTTAAAAAAAATAGTTAACTTGCCCATAGCCTTGTAAATTTAATAACAATTTACCTACTATAAATCATACCTATACTTTAAAAAAGTTTTTTTTCGGAACCTACCTTTTGTACAAATACTTAGGTAGGTAAATCGTTCAAGTGTTTAAACAAATTCAATCATAAATGTCGTTCTCTGTCTGTCATCTAACGGTGCGCAGGTAGGGCTGTCCCCCTTACTTTAAAATGGAAATTGCTGGGCAGCGAGTGATTTGCAAATTCTGAAAATGAGTTTGCAAATTATTGCAAACTATTTGCAAAATATTGGCACCGGTCCGAAATCGATCGGACGATGTGGGGGGGCTGCGTGAAGTTGGCCCCCCCACACTAAAATGGAAATTGGGGGGCAGCGAGTGATTTGCAAATTCTGAAAATGAGTTTGCAAATTATTGCAAACTATTTGCAAAATATTGGCACCAGTCCGAGATCGATCGGACGATGTGGGGGGGCTGCGTGAAGTTGGCCCCCCCACACTAAAATGGAAATTGCGGGGCAGCGAGTGATTTGCAAATTCTGAAAATGAGTTTGCAAATTATTGCAAACTATTTGCAAAATATTGGCACCAGTCCGAGATCGATCGGACGATGTGGGAGGGCTGAGTGAAGTTGGCCCCCCCAATTTTGAAACGATTCCCACAGCATAAGTTGAAGTTTGCAAATTCTGAAAATAGATTTGCAAATTATTGCAAAGTATTTGCAAAATATTTGTACAGGTTTGAGATTGATCGGACAATGTTGGGGGGCCAACTTCACTGACATATTGAAAGCACTAAGTCAACGACCTGATGAGTGGGGCCCTTTATTACTGCACATTATAAGTACAAAGTTGGACGCCGATACAATCGGTGAGTGGGAAACGAAAACCCCGTGAGGTGAAATACCTAAAGTTGTCCAGCTACTTGATTTTCTGGAATCGCGTTTTCATATTGTGGAAGCAGTTGAAACCGCGAAAAGTATAGTCAAGACGTCAAATATCGCGATAATCAAAATATGAACCGAAAAAACAAGTTCGACAAATATAGTCTAGCATTCGCCACAACGACAGAGATACAATGTTATGTGTGTAACTCATCACACACAATATATAAATGTCCTACGTTTATAGCATTAACCATCGATAATCGTATTAAAAAGACGACCGAACTCGGTCTTTGTAAAATTGGTTTGCGCCGGCACGAGAAAAAGAAATGTCTTGCGCGGTACTGTTTTAAGTGCGCTAAGCCTCACAACACGATGGAACACATAGGTTCGGAACATCAGAAAATCGCAGCACCTGCTGAAACAAAAAAAGCTACTGAGGTCACCGAAATACCTGTATCGGCATCGTCAACGTCGTCAATTAACGCACACGCATCAACATCGACGGAACACGTTTTATTGTCTACGGCGAAAGTATCGGCAGCAAATATGAACGGAAATATGATACCATGTCGTGCATTATTGGATTCCGGTTTACAAACAAATTTCATAACCGAAGAATTAGCCCAAACATTAAAATTAAAATAAGTAAGAATAGAACATTCAATTAACGGTATCGGCGAAACGTCGCAGCGTGTGACATCTGCGAGTTGGGGATTAATAAAATCACGTATAAATAATAGCTATACATTGAATTTACAAATGTTGGTAGTACCCAAAATCACCGGACACCTACCAAATAAAAAAGTAAACGCGATGTATAATATTCCCGACCATATTAAATTAGCAGATCCGTTATTCCATACACCACAAAAAATCGACATTTTAATAGGTGCAGAGCATTTTTTGATATTTTATGTGAAGGAAAAATACGAACAAATCCTAACGGTCCGTTATATCAAAAAACAGTGTTTGGTTGGGTAGCCTCCGGACCCGAGTGAAATACAGGACAGTACTTTACATTCGGAATGGCATCTTGTTAAAACAAGCGACAATCCCACCGACATAATCTCAAGAGGCTGTTGCTCGTCGAAATTAGCCGAAAAGGAATTATGGTGGTCTGGTCCGGCCTGGTTGCGGCAAAACGAACATGAGTGGCCAGAACCATTATGGAACATGCCAATTGACGAGTACGATGCTGATGATAGTGTGGTAGAGATGAAGAAGGACAAGACGATCGTCATGGTCGCTGCGGTAACAGCTGAACTGGTTTTAAATCGTTTTTCATCGTTGACAAAATGTATACGTATAGCGGCATGGTGTTTACGTTTTAAAAATAAGGGAAAATCGTACATACTGGTAGCAACTGACTGTTTTAGTAGGTGGACTGAGGCTTACCCCTTAGGAACAGCAACCTCCAAAACAATAATCGAAACGTTAGAGCGCGAGTTCTTTTCGCGTTTCGGTTACCAACGCGTGTGTCTCAGTGATAACGGCCCACAGTTTGTGTCAAACGAAATGATAAACGCGTTAGAACGCTGGGGGGCACAGGGTTGGACGACTCCACCCAGTCGAACGCCGTAATCAAGATTTTAAAAAAGGTTTACGCACACAACAAGTCGAGGGCAAACATACATTTTGGGACACAAAACTACCTTCAATTCTATTTTCATTACAGAACATGTGTAACGAACTGACAGGCTACCCACCCACGGTACTGGTCCTTGGCAGGGAATGCAAGAGACCCGGAGATTGGGCGCTGTCTAAAGCTACTCCGGTACACATCGAAAAATCACAGGAAGAGAGGGTAGAGCGGGAAAAACGTATTTCAGGCAAAACGGTAGTGGTAAAACCAAGCACGAACACCGGCACACCGGTGAAGTTCGACAAGGGCGACGTAGTCTACTACAAAGCACACCACTTATCTAAGGAACATAAAGATTTTCATGCCGGGTTTGCACCAAAGTGGTGGGGACCGTCAAGGCTAGCGAGGCAGGTCGGTAAAGGAGTCTTTCTAACCGACCAACAACCGCCGCAAAAAATACATGTGTCATGCCTGAAACGTGCGCCAATAGGGCAAAGTTAAATAAACTTTTGTCTGTACTAACCATCATTTACAGACAACATGACCGGCCAACAGCAGGAGAAATGGCAGCAGGTGGCCGATCTGATCCAACAGCTGGGGCTGGTGTTCAGTGGTCAGGATGAGCCGCGAACAGCCACCCAGGTCGCGAGGATGACGACCCACCAACTCCTTCATGACCCAGTGCGGGCGGCCATCTACAACCGGGGCTGGGTGGACCGCACAGCGGACATCCAACGGAGGCTGCGGCCACAGCGACCTTCATCGACACCCAGCAGCCGCACCCCGTCACTGACGAGGCCACCACCACCGGCATTAACTCCTGCGGAGCCGACACCGGTACCCAGGCCAACGGGGGTACTCCCCGGTCCGACGGTAAGGGTGTGGACGGAGACGCGGAACCGCAGGAAGTTCCAGCAGCTGAAGGAGAAGAGGAAGGCCAGGGAAAGCGAGGCAAGCCAACGACATCGACTTGCCAAGCAACCTGCGCCAACCTCAGACCCGGAAGCAGCCTGCGCGCCTCCGACCGACCCAACACCGAAGGGAGCGATGGAGGTAGACAAACCGGTGCCCAATGACCAAAAATCCGAGGAGCCGGGGCAGTCTACCAGCCAGACGGCACCTAACTAATCAGGGACCCCGGACGACATAACCGAGGCGGATTGGTTGGTGGTGTTTGAGGGGATGTCGGAGATGGAGTACGACCACACGTGCTACACTCCGGTAGGGTCCCCAAAACACCACCCACGGGCGCGGGCGAGTCTACCTCAAGTGAAAGCCAGAGGTAGTACAAGCCACCCCGACACTGGTACAAGTGTACCTCGCGTGGCGGTTTGGCAAAAAAAAATGTTTGTCGGGTCATTATCTTCAATATAAATAAAATAATAAAATAGTTAATAAAAATAAAAATGAATTGAATATACCTATGATTATATTTTTTTATAATTATATGACATTTCAGAAACAAATGAATACCTGTTTAAAAAAAAAAATTAGACATTTTCTGAAATGTACGTGTCTGTTAAATAGTCAGCATAATGATTCACTCTATTATCGTTAGGTATATTGCTCATAAAATCTTCAATAAAACACGAAGAAACTTCTTGTGGAGTTAGAAATGTGAGCCCAAACGTATTTAATCCAAGAACCAATTTCAGAATTTTTTTCTTTATACTTTTGAACTAAACCAAGACTTTGAATTTTTCGAAAACATGATTGCGTCAGGTGAAACCTACAACCAATTAGTAGTGTATTAGGCCATACTATAGAAACAGCATCATGAATAGCTTTCTCAAAATCAATTGAGTACACAACTGGTATATAATGTCCGTTTTTAAAGCCATGTATTGTAAACATTTGGTTAAAATGTTTGGCACTGTATGTAAATGTACCATCGCAATAAATAATTTCAGATTCACATAAAAATTTTAAGTTTTGGTAACAAGAAAATATTAACACGTTTTTATCGTCATCATTAACAAGTAAAAATTGTTCTTCGGAAGTAGTCATATCTATTACAGTAATTTTTCAAAAATATAAATGACGTACTTAACAGTTAAAAATATATATTTGGGAGTTAAAATTTAAAAATATGTCGTCTGAATACTTATTTTCATTGTTTAATGTAATTTATACCTAAGTTGATTTATGTTGGGCATGTACCGTTTCCGCCAAAATTTGAAATGACCGATTCCGCCATTGCCCGTTTCCGCCAAATTGAAAAAGGTTCAATTCCCGTTTCCGCCAACTACCTGCTATGGTAAAATTATTATAATGTATTCCATAATATGATATATATATAATATATATATAATATAATATATTATGGAATATAATATATTCCATATCATGCATATTATTTTTAAGGAATATTTAAGTTTTAGCTTGAGATAATTGTACATGGTTTATATTATATTATATAAGAACATATTATAGATCCAAACGAGAGATAACTGATAAGCTTCCCCTTGTATAGTTGTACACATTAATCTATGGTAGCGTACACTACTCGCGGACGGGTATTTCCACTGCGATGCCTACCTATTCGTCCATTTTAAATCAATGTGATTAGTTACGACTTTTCTTTTAAATTCCATTTTCAGTTTAAAATTTAAAAATGTAAAATCTTAAAAATACACCCACAAAATTATACGCCCAGGGATAATCCCTGACTCCCCCCCCCCTGGATTCTGCACTGCACACATACATACAATATAATATATTATATAGGTATATATAACTTAAATATGGAATCATCGAATATAAATCGAAAAGATTGAAACTATACAGTACCTATATAGATAAGAACATTTTGTAATCCATAAATTTCTTATCGATCACAAATTATTTTATACATTAAGATTCTATAATATTGTAGTGACACACTGACAGTGTAACATAGTGCAGTAATAATACGTAGACGTAGTTACTTAAGTGTTTCATACTTACAACGGCCTAGACGTATTTGATAATTTTTTTGTGTGATTTTGATATACATTATAAGTAGGTACTATGGAATTCATAGAAAGTAAATATTATGTATTTATAAATAAGTGTCTTTTACTTTATTATCATATTCATTAAACTTAGTAACTAGGTATGACAAAATATTATGTATTTATTAAGAATATGACAAAATATTACCTATGTATTTTTTATTTGAGTATAATATATTTATCAATATAATATGTTCTTATATAATATTTTATAATATAAACCATGTACAATTATCTCAAGTTAAAACTTAAATATTCCTTAAAAATAATATGCATAATACTCCAAGTATTATGGAATATATTATTATATAATAATTTTACCATAGCAGGTAGTTGGCGGAAACGGGAATTGAACCTTTTTCAATTTGGCGGAAACGGGCAATGGCGGAATCGGTCATTTCAAATTTTGGCGGAAACGGGTAATTCCCTTTATGTTACAGGCTGAACTATGGTCAGGTTAGTGTCCTCCTGGACCAACGGGTCAGAGTCGGTGGGGTAGCAGAACTTAAGGTTGAAGAGGAAAAGGATTTTTATATTATTTACATAGTAACTAAAGTTAATACTTTATACTACCACAAACCAACCCTCCAGTCCCTAGCCACCACATTGGCCCAGTTAAAGGATAGACTGAATTGGTACCAGGTCCATGGGTTATTGAAGAATACATTTGACGGAAGTGATGACCTGCAATTAAAAATCACCGTTTGCGATCCCGAAAACCTAAGATTCCATTATTATTAACCATTTATATGCATTAAACCTAACGCAATATATAAGTATAATCTTAAAATATGTTACTTATGTAGTTTCAGATATGATCTCACCATCTGGCCCCAATATATGAGAAGTGTATTGATTTTTTTGATGTTTCGACAAATTCATCAATAAATATACTACCCGTCGAAATACGTGCGCGTCAACCAACAATATGTTCCACAAATGTTTAACGAGTAAACTTTTAACTCCAGAGTAATTTCATTGTTTTTATATTTAAATTTGTATCAATATACAAAAGTTGAACTTGTAGTTAAATTGTATTTTACTTCAATGTATATTCCAACAGTTTATGG